CTACCTCCTAATTATCCAGCAGGGAGTCAGTGTGTCTTTGCAGGGAAATATTACCAAGGGCTTTTAGCGGGAACTGTCTCAAAGAAATTCCCTACAGAGGCAGAGAGAGGAGAACTAGGAGAGCTCCAGACTTGGAGGCACACACTCCAGTATGGCAAACATCACTACCTCTTGTTTTCAAACTTGGAATTTCTCTGGAACTCTTTGAACTTCCATAGCAAAATTTGGACTTTGTATCTTAAATCCTAAGATGTTTTCTGATGTGGTTGCTTTGGCCTGGACTGCCCTTTCTTGCTCTGTCTGCCTGTACACCTTTGTTGATCACTTAAGAGACTATTCAAGGCCCCTCCCCACAAAGCTGCCCTGACCTTGATGTTCCTAGTGGAGAGATCAGCTCATCAAAATCTACCAGAGAGTCAGATATGAATGAGAATAAGATAAAACGTGTGCTATTTCTGCCTTCCTCTGGTACACCTGTTCTGGAACATTCTTTGATCATTCACAAGAGCACTCTGAATTGTGTTTGCTTCTCAGTGCCCACTGGGCTGTGAACTTCTTGAGAGCAGGGTTGAGATGCACCCCCACACATACACAGAGACTCCTCAGCCCCACCCTCCACATCCATGGAGCCTTTGGTTGGACCTGGCTCTGCAGGACTTGGCAGTGAATGAATGTTGAGTGCTGGCTCAAGCCTCTGTCTGGTAGGGTATTCATCAGTCTGCCCCAGGGCACTTAGTCCAGGACCCCACAGGCAGCAGATACCCTACCCCCATGAAATGCAAGTAAGGGACTGAATTGCAGAGCCTCTACCATGAAAGATGCTGAGAAGCTGAGAGTCCTAGCAGCTCTCCCAAGCTCAGTCTGTACACTTAAAAATGAATTTCAAGGATCTTACCTGGGGCTGCCACCTTGAGAAATTTTATTTTATTTTTTTTTAAAGATTTATTTATTTAAAAGGCAGAGTTACAGCGTAATAGAGATCTTCCATCTGCTGGTTCACTCCCTAAATGGCTGCAATGGCCCGAGCTGGGCCAGGCTGAAGTGAGGAACCTAGAACTCTATCCAAGTCTCCCATGTGGTTGGCAGGGTCCTAAGCACTTGGGTCATCTTCTGCCTTCCCACGAGCATGGGCAGGGAGCTGGGTCAGAAGCAGAGCAGCCAGGAATCAAACTGGCACTCTGATACAGGATGCTAGCATCACAGGGTGGTGGCTTAACCTGCTGCACCACAATGTTGGCCATACCTTAAGAAATTTTAAAGCCGCGTACAGTAGAGAGCTTATCCCCAAGAGGGGTGCCATGGGGTATCTGCTAGGAGAAGTGAACCTTTGAGGACCCCTTGGGTGGAAATCCTGTTACTAACCCAGCTGGGATGAAATCCTAGACTAATCAGGTCATGGCCTATCCTGCACAGGGATAAACCAGGTGAGCACCCCCATGGTGTCACTTGGCTTTGAAAATAAATGTTGAGGCTGGTGCCATGGCTCACTAGGCTAATCCTCGGCCTGAGGTGCCGGTACACCGGGTTCTAGTCCCAGTTGGGGCGCTGGTTCTATCCCGGTTGCTCCTCTTCCAGTCCAGCTCTCTGCTGTGGCCCAGGAAGGCAGTGGAGGATGGCCCAAGTGCTTGGGCCCTGCACCCACATGGGAGACCAGGAGGAAGCACCTGGCTGCTGGCTTTGGATTGGCACAATGTGCTGGCTGTAGCAGGCATTTGGGGGGTAAACCAATGGAAGGAAGACCTTTCTGTCTCTTTCAGTGTCTAACTCTGCCTATAGAAAGAAAGAAAGAAAGAAAGAAAGAAAGAAGAAGGAAGGAAAGGAAGGAAGGAAGGAAGGAAGGAAGGAAGGAAGGAAGGAAGGAAGGAAGGAAGGGAGGAAGGAAGGGAGGAAAAGAAAGAGAAAGAAAGAGAAAGAGAAAGAGAGAAAGAGAGAGGGAGGGAGAAAGAGAAAAAGAGAGAGAGAAAGAGAGAGAGAGAGAAGTTGCATAAATTACCATCTGACTGTGGTATTGAGAAACAGTTTGACTATCATTCTAGGCATTTCTGCTTTGGGCCCGGGGCCTGTCCCCTCCAAACAGTGCCTCTGGCTCTGGCTGCCCCCTATCCCTACCCCCAGTGTGCTGTCATGGTGTAGGGACTTTGGGCCTCCGGCACATCGAAGCTTGTGGGACATTATTTCCAGGTATTTATCCTCCTAGATTTCATCACCAAAGACTGTTTCCCTCCTGGGCCTCCTGCACTTGGTTCCTGCACTGTCCTCTAATGACCCAGGCAGAGCGGGAGTTCTCATCCACCTGCATGACCCAGCTCACCTCAGAAAGAGCAGCTCCCCTAAGGCTGGAGGTGAACAGGAAGGGGTCACCTTCTATGCAGTCAGCAGGCCAGAGACCAGATCAGGACCCCTGAATCTGTGGAGGAGGAGACAGGACTGCCCGGGGGGTCATCAGTGGTGTCAGGAGCCTGCCTCCCATCCCACCCCACCCCTCCAAGTCAGTCTCTCTCTCTGTTTTCCTGCAGGCATGGGGTTGCAGATGAGTAAACAGACTTTGGAACCTCCCAATGAACTTGGGGTGGAGGCCTCAGCCTTCTCTCTTCTCTGGGGAGGAGGCAGATCCAGCTTTTCTCTGCCAAGGAGAAGGCTCCTCTGTGTCTTGCCCTATATGAGAATTGGGCATACCCCACCTAAGCCCCTGAGCACCAGCTGAACCCTGGCCAGGGATGAGCACAGCCTTCCATTTTCCCGGGAAGACAGCTTCACTCTCCCTGGACGCTGGGCCTTTTGCCCTTCCTGGCTCTTCACCCCCTGCTCTCATGCCTTTGAACCTCTGGCTCCCCACCCCATGCTGGCTTACCCCATCATCTTGGGGACTTGCATTCCGCTGAGTAAAGCCTGCTGGATGCTGTGTGCCTTGCACTGCCAAAATAAATGTGCACAAGACACTGTCCTTTGCCTCAAGAAATCTACTAACATCTAATTGTGCAGCAGGACTGTGGAGCACAGATGAAAGAACTATTCATGGTGACCTTCCAGGGTTGGAGGGGAGGGAGGTTTCCCCAGAGGAGGAATACCTGGGTAGGGCCAGTCAGTGGAGGGACCATCACACCCAGAATCATGGAGGTGTGAAATAGCTTGGCACATTCAGGGAACCACAACTAATGTATTGCCTGCCACACCAGAGAGAACCAAGAGAAGAGGATGGTGCCAGCGCCGCAGCTCACTAGGCTAATCCTCCACCTTGCGGCGCCGGCACACCGGGTTCTAGTCCCAGTCGGGGCGCCGGATTCTGTCCCGGTTGCCCCTCTTCCAGGCCAGCTCTCTGCTGTGGCCCGGGAGTGCAGTGGAGGATGGCCCAAGAACTTGGGCCCTGCACCCCATGGGAGAACAGGATAAGTAACCTGGCTCCTGCCATCAGATCAGCGTGGTGCGCCGGCCACAGCGCACCGGCCACGGCGGCCATTGGAGGGTGAACCAATGGCAAAAAGACCTTTCTCTCGTCTCTCTCTCTCTCACTGTCCACTCTGCCTGTCAAAAATAAATAAATAAATAAATAAATAAAAGAGAGAGAGAGAGAGAGAGAAGAGGATGGAGAGGGGAGCCAGGCTGCTTTAAGGCCTTGAAGACCAAGTTCAGGGCACCCATAGCATGAGGGCAGTATCAGGAGACTGCAGTAAGGGTCCAGGGAGACTCCATCCATTATTTCTCTTTTTAAAATTTTAAAATCTATTTTCATTTTATTTTGAGGGACACACAGAGAAGATCTTTCATCTACTTATTTTCCCCTCAAATTCCTACAACAGTCAGGCATGGGCCAGGCCAAAGCCAGGAATCCAGAACCCTATCCAGGTCTCCCATGTGCGTGGCAGGGACTCAAGCACTTGAGCCATTACCTGCTGTCTCCCAGGGTATGTATGATCAAGAAACTGGAATCAGAAACTGAGGTTCAGGGGGCTGGTACCGAGAAGTAGTAGGCTAAGCCTCTGCTTGCAGGGCTGGCCTCTCATATGGGCACTGTTTTAAGTCCCAGCTGCTCCTCTTCCTTTGGATCAGCTCAGCTCCAACCATTGCAGCCATTTGGAGAGTGAACCAGCAGACGGAAGACCTTTCTCTCTGTCTGCAACTCTACCTTTTAAACAAGTAAATAATCTTCTAAAAATGATAGCCAGAGTCATATTAAAAGAAAGAAAGAGAGAGAGAGAGAGAGGGAGGGTGGGAGGAAGGGAGGAAGGGAGGAAGGGAGGAAGGGAGGAAGGGAGGAAGGGAGGAAGGGAGGAAGGGAGGAAGGAAGGAAGGAAGGAAGGAAGGAAGGAAGGAAGGAAGGAAGGAAAGAAAGAAAGAAGGAGCAAACAAACAAACTGAGCCAGGACAGAAGCCCAGGCACTCAGATATAGGAAACAGGAGTCCCAAGCAGTGTCTTAATCACTGCACCCAATGCCCATTCCTTTTTCTTTTCTTTTTTCTTTTTTTAAAGATTTATTTATTTATTTATTTGAAAGGCAGAGTTACAGAAAAGCAGAGGCAGAGAGAGAGAAAGAGGTCTTCCATACGCTGGTTCACTCCCCAAATGGCCACAACAGCCAAAGTTGTGCCAATCCGAAGCTAGGAGCCAGGAGCTTCTTCCAGGTCACCCACACAGGTGCAGGAGCCCAAGGACTTGGGACATCTACTGTTTTCCCAGGCCATAGCAGAGAGCTGGATGGGAAGAGGAGCAGCCAGGACTGGTGCCCATATGGGAAATGGTGCCCATATGGGATGCCGGCACTGCAGACTTTATCCGCCACAGTGCTGACCCCTTTTCTTTAAAAAAAAAAAAAAAAAAAAAAAAAAAAAAAGAAGTTTTATTGAAGTATAGTTGTGATACGGGACACAAGCTACACATATGTGAAGTGTATAATCTGACACATTGTAACATGTATACACCTGTGAAACTACCTCAATCAAGAGCAGGAACATATCCCGCACCTTAAATGTTTCTTCCTTTCCTTTGCATTCTCTCCCTCCAGCTACTGTCTCCAGGCAACCTCCCATCTGCTGCTCGGTGTCTACAGATGAGTTTGCATTTTCTGAATTTTAAATAAGTGGATTCATTTGGTATGAACTATTTTTGTTCTTTCATTCAACATAATTATTTTGAGATTCCTCCATGCTCTTGTGTAGACTGATAGTTCATTCTGTCTCTTTGCTGAGTAGTATTCCACTGCATGGGTTATTGCACAATTTGCTTCTCTCTTCACGTGTTGATGGACATCCGGGTTGTTTCCAGTTTGGGGCTGTTACAGATAAAGTTGCTCTAAGTGTTTGTGTATAAGTGTCTGTGTGAATACTTGCTTCTCTTCCTCTTGGGTAAATAAATATTTAGGAATGGCCATGTGATAGATATACTCACGTTTCACTTAAAATACATGTTTCTAGTTTATTGATTAAAGAGACAGAGTGAGAGTGAGAGTGAGAGTGAGAGTGAGAGAGAGAGAGAGAGAGAGAGATCCAGTTCAATGGCTCCTACAATGGCCAAGGCTGAGCCAGGGCTAGAGCCAGGAATTGGGAAATTAATCCAGGTCTCCCATGTGAGTAGTAGGAACCCAATTACCTGGGCCACAACCTGCTGCCTCACAAGGTCTACACTGGGGAAGCCTGGAGTGAAGAGCTAAAGATGGAAATCAAATATAGACACTTAGATGTGGGATAGGGTGTTTTAACTGCTAGGTTAAAAGCCCACTGCCGGGCTGGCGCCGCAGCTCAATAGGCTAATCCTTTACCTTTTGGCGCTGGCACACCGGGTTCTAGTCCCGGTCGGGGCACCGGATTCTTTCCCAGTTGCCCCTCTTCCAGGCCAGCTCTCTGCTGTGGCCCGGAGGTGCAGTGGAGGATGGCCCAAGAACTTGGGCCCTGCACCCATGGGAGACCAGGAGAAGCACCTGGCTCCTGCCATCGGATCAGTGCGGTGCGCCGGCCGCGGCAGCCATTGGAGGGTGAACCAATGGCAAAAAGGAAGACCTTTCTCTCTGTCTCTCTCTCTCACTGTCCACTCTGCCTGTCAAAAATAATAAAAATTAAAAAAAATTTAAAAAAAGCCCACTGCCATAAAAAATTATTTGAAAGGTAGAAATACAGACACAGAGAGACATAGTATGTTTTACTTTTAAAAAAAGATTATTTATTTATTTGAAAGGCAAAGTGACAGAGAGAGAGAGAGAAATAGAGAGAGTAGAGAGCTCTTCCATCTACTGGTTCACTCTCCAGATGACCACAATGGCCTGGGCATGGCCAGGAGCCAGGAGCTCCATCTGGGTCTCCCACGTAGGTGGCAAGGGACCATCTTCTGCTGCTTTTCCAGGCACATTAGCAGGGAGTTGGATCAGAAGTGGAGCAGCTGAAACTTGAATCAGTGCTCATATGGGATGCTGGCAACCTGATGCACCACAGTGCCCACCCCAAGTGTTTTACTTTTTAAGAAAGTGCCAAGCTGTGTGCCAAAGTACCCATTGTGTTTCACATTCCCACCAGCACTGGAAGAGCCTTCCTCAGCTGGCTGCAAGCTACGGGAATCTTAGTACTGAGTCTCCGTTAGATTGGCCCAGCTAGTGACTACAGCTGAAGCCCAAGACCTGCACTCCCAGGTCCTGGCCAAAGAGCTGGACTGTCCCGTGTGCCTTCCCAAGGTGGTGTTGGTGCCACCTTCTCTCAGGAGGCTTTTGGCACGTGGGCTGCCCCAGGGGCTTCAGGAATTGAGCAGGACCAGGAGGGGTGATGAGCTGTGGGGACTTTCCAGCTCAGCACCTGTGAGGATCCCTCTGGACCTGCAGAGTCCATGATCCCAGATTGCAGAAGTTAGTTTTTGCACAGATGAATTCTCTGAGCTGATGTCAGGGCTCCCACATACCATAGGAGCAGCCATGGTCCCTGGCTCAGGGCCCTGCTCCAGGGAAGTAGCTCCTGAGTCCAGGGCCCCAGAGCCCTCAGGGTCTTCTCAGATGGAAGAATGCTGATTTCCCACAGGAAAGCTGTGGACAGAATCAGGACTAGAGGCCAATCTCAATGTCAGGGTCACTAGTGACCACTGCTGCGGCCTGGCCATTCTGATTTGTGACTCAGGATCTCTGGTGTTCCACACAATGTGCAAGGTGTGAGTCCTTCTAGAGTTTGGGGTATGCTATTCATTCATTCACCCACTAATTCATGCATCAGCCTTCATCAGTGCCTCCTCAGAATTAGAGTTAACTCAGGCAGGTTGGGGTGCAGTTGTGAGAACCCCTTCCTTCCTGTCCCTGCCATGGGATTTCAAGAGAATTTAACAGGAGGGGCATTGATGGTTTCTTCACAGACAGTGACCAGTTCTTGTCTGGGACAGTCGGCAGGAGGGCGGTCGTGGGATCTGAGCAGGGCCGTGGTGGTAGGAGGGAGGACAAGGCAGCGCAGGGTGAGGGGGTGGTCAGCTCTTGCTTCTCGTGGTTCTAATACTACTCTCACTGGCACCTGCCAGACACTGAGTGCATTTCTGATGTGTAGATGAGCAGGTCATGGAGGGGAAAGGATGGCTGCTTGGTCTCAGGAGCGAAGCCTGAAACCAGCCCTTGGAGGTGGCTGTTGGGCCAAGGCATGCATCTCCCCACCCAGCCACCCCTGCCTGAGCGGCCATCCTTCCTGAGGTGAAGGGGGGACCTCAGATGTCCTCGCACCCCCACCCCACCCCAGATTCAGCAGGAAGCCACAGACTAACGTCTGATAGTCCTCAGCCTTTGACTCCCTGAGTCTCACCGTCATCCACCAAAGGTAGGTGCTTGATCCCTTCCTGCCCCAGATTCCTCAAGGCAGTGAAGGGTTCCCTGGGGCCATGACTTTGAACTGCTGATAAGCAGTGGCCTTGGTTTACCTTGGATACCCCATCCTCTGGGGCAGGAGGAGAGGAGCAGGGAAACCAGAGGCTGGTGGGGGAGGCTCGATCCTTGTCAAGGAGGAACTGACTGAGTCTCAGCTGGAATCAGGAGCCTCTGCATTGTGTGACCTTTTCTTGGTTATGTACAGCGAGGGCAGCGCAGGCCAGCCCGTCAGTAGAAGGACCCAGATGGCCTCCGAATGGCATTCACCAAAACCAGTTTCCTTTCAAATTAGTGTGCTGGGTAGGGCGGGGAGCATGGGCTGCTGGGTGTGTTAGTGTAGGTGGGGCCCTGGGGATGCATGGGGCGGGGGAACAGCCTGGAGGCCTGGGTTCCAAGCCCTTGTGTCTCCCCCAACCATGAGAGGGAATCCCTTCTCCTCACTGGGCCGACTCTGGCTCTGATCCCAGGGGACTGCAAATCCTTGTTTGTGTCCCAGTCCAGATACTAGGCACAGGTGGTGGTGGGGAAGAAGGCAGCAGAGCAGAAGCTGCTCCCTCCTGCCTCTCTGGCTAAGGTTTCAGCTATTCAGCCAGTTGGCACCAAGTGTTTACAATGAGTGCATCTCAGCCTGAGATCTAAGGGGGGTCTAAATCAGACCACCTGGGAGGGTTTGATGCGTTATGATCAATGAGGTTATTTGGTCACTGGCTCCTTGTTATAGTGAACTGCCTTTTAGGTCACCTGGGGTTTCAGAGCTAGGAGAGCACTTAGAGGTGTCCACTCACTCCTTTAGTTCATAGAGGATGAATCAGAGACCTTGAGGGGTAGGAAGAAATGGCAGCCTCATCTGCATGGGCCCCATGGACTCCTAGGGATCTCAGTGCTTTGGCCTTCTGGGTTGGCAGTGGTCTTTGGTTCTGTCACTGCCACCACCTTGGCCTATTGCCTGCCCTGTGGCGTGATCAATAGGGTCTTCCTTTTCCTGTTATTAAGGAGAGAGGAGAGCCTGTCTGGGCAGGCCTGGCTGGTGAATGAGGCCCTCCTGTAAGCCAGGCTTCTGCAGCAATTGGTAGCATCCCCAGGGTTGGGGAACAGTTGTCCACGTGTAGGAGTTTGGACTCAGATAACACAGGTGAGGAGTCCATAGCCAGAGTGGGGGGTGGGGCCTGGGTCCCGACCCAGTGCCAGGAGATAAGGTTGTGAAGTGCCAGGCAGTGCCTGGTAGAGTGGGGAGCCGTGGCTGTAGCTGTCATTCTCAGGCTGGGGCTGAGGCTTTACTGGTAAAGACCCGAGCCAGGCACTGAGTGGTGGTGTCAGCCTGAGGCACCAGGAAGAGGCCTAGTGAGGAGGTGCTTGGGCACAGGCCAGATGGTCCAGCCAGGCATTCATCCCTGGACTCAGGACATGAATTCCTGCCAGCAACTCAGGTGCAGCCAGAGGGTGACCCTTCTATCTCATGCAGCCCTGCCAGGAAGTTTCCCCCGGGCAGCTGCCACCCGGCCTCAGGGGAGGGAGGAGGAATGCAGATCTGGGCGGGGCATGCCCCAGGAGTGAGGCTGTGATCTGGGTGCTGTATTTGTGCAGCAAGCACTCCCGCTGGGTTATTGGCACCACCTGGAAGCTACAGATGTGGGGTACACAGCCCAGGGAGTGTGGCCTTGCCCTAAGACAGGTGCCCCCCCCCCCGACAGGTGCCTCTAACCCTTTCTCTGTGCCCTCCATACCTGTCTAGGTCCCATGTGGAGATGCCCCTGGCTGCTTGCCCAGTGAGCAAGAGAGGAAGAGAATGCAGCCAGACAGATGGGCCCTCAGCACCCAGGGGCCACTGCCAGCCTGCAAGGGATGAGGGATGACCTGAAGCCCTAGCACATCTGTGAGGGGGGAAATGAGCAGGCTGGATGAGCCCCTGACCCTGACCTTTTTGGTGACCACTGAGAACTTCCAGACTCAAACCTCTGATGCTTCAGATGCAAGCAGACACTGCCGCCATCTTCTCTCCTCGTGCCTATTCCGCTCTTGGTGCCCCTGATCCTGCCCCTTAACCATCCCTTCCTTGCTCTTCCAAATTTTTCCTGCCTACCCCTGGCCCATCTTAGTCCCTCCACATCCTGCAGGCAGCCTTCTCTCCTGGACCAGCCATGCGGACGCCTGTCCCTAGCTCTGCCTGGTTCTGTGGTACATGCAGCGGTTGTTGGTCTCCAGCGAGGGCAGGTTGAGGGGGTGATGAGGATCTGGCAGTGGAGACAGTGAGACAGGAATAGTCGGCGGGGAGCCAGGCCTGTCTGGCCAGTGTATCTGGGGACTGGGCACAGCAATGGTAGACCTGGCCCTAGACTAGCTGGCGGGGTCAGGCTGGTGCTTCACCAGCGTATTAGTCAGGGCTGTGCTCAGTGGCAGAGACCTGGGGTTCTGGCCTCTCTGAAGGATGGGGTGAAGGCTATGGCCTCCCCTGGGACTCATGGCAGCAGGAATCAGGAAATGAGGCAGGGTGACTGGATATGATTGGGAGTCATTAGAAGGCCTATTGTGGGTGCAAAGGCAAACACCCCAGTTTGTGGGGCTCCACCTGCTAAATGGGGCAGTACCTCTTTCCCAACAGGCTTGGATCAGAGTTTGTGGGAGGCAACCATGGAGCATTTGACAGGGCAGCCCCACCCATCGTTTAATCCCACCCCCACTTAGTACCTTGAGGGCATCAGTGCCCCAAGAGGGGCCGCTAGGAGTAGCTGGAGATATTCTCAGAAGCAACTGTCACAGCCTGACCTAGTCACCACTCAGCCGGCCCACCTATCACAGATGAGAAATTCAGGGGTGGGGGGCAGCAAGCACCATTCATGGTGAGCCTGGCACAGCCCTGTGCCTGCTACCTGCCCTCCACTCCCACACAGGCTTCGTGAGGGCCTGGGTTCTCCCAGCGCCCGTGGGACCAGCGTCTGGACCTGGGTCAGTGACTACAGGATTAGCTGGTGACAGAGCTAGTTCAGCATTATTAGTCATTAAGGAAATGCAAACTAGAGCCACAGAGAAGTGCCGCCACATGACTGTTAGTCTGGCTGAAAGAAAAAATTTGACAACATCACGTGCTGATCAGGACACAAAGCAACTGGAACTCTCAGACATGCTGGAGAAAATGCAAAATGGTACAGCCACTTTGGCCAGCACTTGGCATTGTCTAAAGTTAAGCATGCACTTGCCATACAACCCAGCAATCTTATTGCTAGATATTTCCCCAGGAGAAATGAAAATTTAGGCTCACACAAAATCCTATATACAACCACTTATAGAAGCTTTATTCATAATCACCCCAAACTGAAAATAATCCAAATGTCCTTCAGCTGGTGAGCAAACAAAAAACTATGATACATACATCCATAGTATGGAATACTATACAGCCATAAAAAGGAATGGACTATATTGATAAGAGTAACAATGTGGGATGGATCTCAAATGTGCTATGTTACATGAAAGAAGCCAGACTCAACAAGTTCCATACTTACAATTCTGTTTACATTTCTGAAAAAGCAAAACAGATCAGTGGTTGCAGGAGCCTGTGGGCAGTGATGGTGAGGTTGACTTCAAAGGGGTACAAGGGAATTGTGGGGGGCTGGTAGAAGTACTTTATATGTTGATTGTGGTGATGATTACGTGGCTGTATGCATTTATCAAAACTCATAAAACTGGGTTTATCCTAGTAGTTGAGACAGTAATTAATACCCACATTCTATATAGCCTGGGTTTGCTGCCTGACTGTCGCTTTTGATGCCAGCTTCCTGCTAATACACTCCATGGGAGGCAGTGGTGATGGCTCAAGTAACTGGGGTCCTGCTACCAATGTGGGAATCCTGAATTGAATTTCCAGCTTCTGGCTTTGACCCAGCCCAGCCCTGGCTGTTGTTGGGAAGTGAACCAGTGGATGAGAACTCTGTCTCTGTGTTGCTCTGTGTGTATATGTGTGTCTGCCTCTCAAATTTAAAAAGGTCATAGAACTTTACCCCACAATAGGTGGATTTTACTGCATGCACGTAAAACTTCAATAAACCTGACTATAAAAGACACACCCATCCCAGGGACTTGGAGTGTGTTTTCTCATCCATTCAGTCATTTGATTGCTCCCTCAGCAGGCATTCATTGAGTGCCTATACCAGATATCATGTCCATTAAATCTTCCCTAAGAGCTTCAGGCTCCTGTGTCACATGGAAACCCCCATAGGAAGAGCAGCCAGAGCCAACCCTCGACGGCTGTGGATGAGTGTGAAGTTCCCTGTGGGTACATTCCCATGGGGTCAGGCTTCCTGGCTCGGAGCCTCTTGAGGGAGTCCAAACTCTAGAAAGTGTGGCTAAAGTGGTGGAGCCAAGAAGGGTCACTTGGGAGGGATTTGCTTCCTCACTGAGGCATTGTCCCCACAGAATTTGAGCAGGATGTGGCCAGGTAGCCATGCCCCTCAAGGTTCTGTCCACAGAGCCTGGCCATGGTGGGGAAGCAGGGCCTAGGCACATTTGCTCGGGGGCTCCTCCCCTGTTCACGAGGATGTCTGTGTCTGCCCACCTGAGACGGAAGTGGCCTTGGCTTCCCTGGTGAGAACTCATGTGAGAAATCTTAAGATGAACTCATGGTGTGGGGCATGCATCCAGAATCATTGTCCTATGGAACAAAGAACAAACCAGAACTGAGGGTGTCAACCCCGACATCTTAAAAATATGAACGGAGTAGAGAACAAATGACAAGATGGATGGAGAGGACACCGTTTAGTGTGTTAAAAACATAGAACAGTGCCATATATTGTAACAGATACAAACTCAAAAACTTAAAAAACATGAACGGGCTGGCACCGTGGCGCAGTAGGTTAATCCTCCACCTGTGGCACTGGCATCCCATGTGGGCGCCGGTTCTAGTCCCAGTTGCCCCTCTTCCAATGCAGCTCTCTGCTGTGTCCTGGGAAAGCAGTAGACGATGGCCCAAGTGCTCGGGCCCCTGCAATTGCATGGGAGACCAGGAAGAAACTCTTGGCTCCTGGCTTCGGATCGGCGTAGCTCTGGCTGTTGCGGTCATTTAGGGAGTGAACCAATGGAAGGAAAACCTTTTTTTTTTTTTTTTTTTGACAGGCAGAGTGGACAGTGAGAGAGAGAGACAGAGAGAAAGGTCTTCCTTTTGCCGTTGGTTCACCCTCCAATGGCCGCCGCGGCTGGCGCGCTGCGGCCGGCGCACCGCACTGATCCGATGGCAGGAGCCAGGAGCCAGGTGCTTTGGAAGGAAAACCTTTCTCTCTGTCTCTCCCTCTCACTGTCTGTAACTCTACCTCCCAAATAAATAAATAAAATCTTTTTAAAAAAAGAAAAAAAAAACCATGAACAAGAAGGAGACATACTAACTTCAGAAGTGGATTAGTTTTGAGGAGGACTGTTAGTGAGAAAGAAAACAAAGAAGGCAAAATGTTAGCACTTGTTAAACCTGAGGTGCATGAGTTATACGGAGGGAGTGCTACCTCCCAAATAAATAAATAAAATCTTTTTAAAAAAAGAAAAAAAAACATGAACAAGAAGGAGACATACTAACTTCAGAAGTGGATTAGTTTTGAGGAGGACTGTTAGTGAAAAAGAAAACAAAGAAGGCAAAATGTTAGCACTTGTTAAACCTGAGGTGCATGAGTTATACGGAGGGAGTGTGTTACATAACATTTTCTGTACTTTGGGTTGAAATATTTTGTGCTTTCAAAGCCAGACAGCCATTGCAGTACACTGAGCTCCACAGAGACAGCGCTGTGGCAAGTGAGAGCTGGAGGGGTACTGGGGGTGACTGTGCCTTGCTGAGGAGAAATAACTAAACATGGGCAAAGGAGATCCTAAGAAGCAGAGAGGCCAAATGTCACCGTACGCATTCCTTGTGCAAACTTGGCATGAGGAGCACAAGAAGGAGCATCTAGATACTTCCGTCAACTTCCCGGAGTTTTCTAAGAAGTGCCCAGAGAGGGGGAAGACCGTGTGTGCTAAAGAGAAGGGAAAATGTGAAGACAGGGCCTAGACACACAAGGCTCATTATGAGAGAGAAAGAAACCTAGCTCCTTCGTAAAGGGGAGACCCCCCCCCAAAAAAAAGAAAAAAGAAGAAGAAGAAGAAGTTCAAGGATCCCCAAACACCTAAGAGGTCTCCTTCAGTCTCTGTCTTTCTTCCTTCCCCCCTTCCTTCCTTCCTTTATTTCTTTTTTGGTCTTTTTCTTGTTCTGTTCTGAGTATCTCCCAAAAATCAAAGGAGAACATCCTGGCCTTTCCACTGGCGATGTTGCAAAGAAGCTGGGAGAGGTGTGGAGTATCACTGCCGCAGAGGCCAAGCAGCCTGGGAGAGAGGGCTGCTAAGCTGAAGGAAAACTACGGAAAGGATATTGCCGCACGCCGAGCTTCAGGAAAACCTGATGCGGCAAACGGAGCTGTCCGGGATGGAAAGAGCCAGGAGAGGAAGGAAGAGGAGGAAGACGCAGGAGAAGATGAATGAGTTGGTTCTAGTGAAGTTTTTTTTTTTCTTGTCTAGAAAGCATTTAACCCCCCCTGTACACAACACACTGCTTTTCAAGAAAAAAAAATTGAACTGTAAGGCTGTGTAAGATTTGTTTTTAAACTGTAACAGTGTCTTTTTCTGCTTAGTTAACGCACTACCAAATGGATCCTTAGAGAGCCTTGTCCTGGTGGTATTTTTTTTTTTTTTTTTTTGACAGGCAGAGTGGACAGTGAGAGAGAGACAGAGAGAAAGGTCTTCCTTTTGCCGTTGGTTCACCCTCCAATGGCTACCGTGGCCGGCGCTGATCCGATGGCAGGAGCCAGGTGCTTCTCCTGGTCTCCCATGTGGTGCAGGGCCCAAGGACTTGGGCCATCCTCCACTGCACTCCCGGGCCACAGCAGAGAGCTGGCCTGGAAGAGGGGCAACCGGGACAGAATCCGGCGCCCCGACCGGGACTAGAACCCGGTGTGCTGGCACCTCAAGGCGGAGGATTAACCTAGTGAGCCATGGCGCTGGCGTGGTATTTTCAATAGCCATTAGCCTTGCCTGGTACAGTATGGGGGTTGTAAGTTGGCGTGGAAATTTAAAGCAGGTTCTTGTTGGTGCATAGCATGGATTCGTTGTAGAGAGGTGGTGGTTTTTTCATCTTCAGTTGTCTCTGATGCAGCGTATCTGAAATAATTGTTCTATTACCTGAATGCTACTCTGACTTGCAGCTGTTTTGTTGACACTGCAAATGCTTCTAAGTAAATACAATTTTTTAAGTAAAGAAAATAAAAATAAAAGCAAGCCAAGGGACAAGAGTTCATCTTAGTGATGAAGACACCAGTTAAGGGTGAGAGTGTTGTGGCAAAAGGGGCTAAATCGCCACCAATTGCAACATCCGCATCCCGGGTTGGAGGTCCTGGTTGGAGTCCTAGCTACCCTGCTTCCAATTCACTTCCCTCCTGACGTGCTGGGAAGGCAGTGAATGATGGCCTAGGTGCTCGGGTCCCTGTCACCCACGCGGGAGACCTGGAGGAGTTCTTGGCTGCTGGCTTTGGTCTGGCCCAAGCCAGGTTGTTGTGGACATTTGGGGAATGAGCCAGCAGATGAGAGATCTCTCTTTGTTACTCTGCCTTTCAAATAAAGAAATTGGTTACAATGGTAAGTTGTATGTTATCTATATTTTGCCACAATAAAAATAAATAAAAACAAGTCAGAACAGGCAAATCTCTAGAGACAGAAAGTACATCAGTGGCTGCCTGGGGCTGGGGAGGATGCCAGGAAAATGGCTAGGGTGTAGGCTTTCTTTCTGGGGAAAGCAATGTCCTGAAATCGATTTTACTGATGGATGCACAACCCTGGGACCACACTGAACGCCATGAGTGGAAGGCTTTCAGGGGCTGAGATGTGTTATACGTGACCTATATCTCAGTAAAGTTGGTTTCAAAAAGTCAAAAGGGGAAATCGTGTCTGCGTCGGCCACCTGACAGGAGCCAGCGGTCTGTCTGCTCTGAGCTTGGCACTGTCATGAGTATTGTGGAGGCATCCGGAGCTCCAAAACCACCACGTGGCACAGGGAGTCGTAGGCGCTGCAGAACGAGGTTAATGAGAATCGTCTCTGGGCTCCAGGGTTTTGAGCATTAATTAATACTCTCAAGGCCCTTGGTGACTGTGAAATCAAAGGTTCTGCAAATGTGTGCATGCTGGCCTTAGCAGCACCGAGCAGGTACAGGGAGCAGGAAGCCAGCCTTCTTAGCATTCATTTAGCTCCCTGAAGTGGCTGCGAGTCCAGGCCAGGCTGAAGCTGTCTGTCTGGGCCTTGTCCTGCTTCCCAGGCCATTCCTAGGCCTGAGTGGTCTGGATGGCCCAGAGCTCCAGGGTGGCTGCCCTGGGTGCCCCGGGTGGCCAGGGCCCTCTCTCAGTGACTGTCCCTTCAGGCCTAGAGAAGACTTCAAGTGAGGGTGGCGGACAGCTTCCCAGGTGGCCAGTCCTTTGGGCGTTGTGTGTGCCTACTAGGATTCAGCACAGCCAGGCCCTGTGGGACCCTGCCTGCAGCACTCATTCTGTCCCTCTGCCCAGGGCATCCTGCAGCTATCACACCATCCCATTTTGCCTTAGCTCAGGGATTTCCTGCCTGTTAGCTCCATCCTGCTGCTGTCCAAGAACTCTCCCGAGAAGGGCCCTGGGTTGTCCCAAGGCCAAGTGGCACAGCCTCTCCCCCTCCTTTGTTCTGGCTTTGGTCACCCAGGCATGGAGTCTCAGAGCACACCACCCCATGGGCCCACATGCAGGAGCACCGCACTCTCTCCCCAGAGCCCCTGCTTGTGCTGGGCCACGTAATACCCTCCCCTGCAGCTGTGGCCACAAACCCACTTGTAATCACTGGGTGGTTCCCTAACCAGGGAGGGAGGAGACAGAAACATGCACAGGCCAGGATCCAGGATCTGTGGTCTTGACACTTGGAGCTCTGGGATGGAAACCCTGGGGGCCCTTCAGCTTAGGGATCCTGGGGGCCCATGACTTTGATGATCTGCAGCCCAGGAGACACATGGCCCTGGGTGTCCACAACCCGGGGAACTCATAGTCTCCAATACCTGATGACCCTGGAGCCTGTGACCCTGGGCCAGCCTCTTGCACGTGGACTTCTGTAACCAAGCCCTGCAGGGGAGCCTGCTGAGAGTGGTGCTGAGGGGATGCAGTGCTGAGATGCAACACAGCCTTCCCCATGCTGGGTCTGTTTCTGGGGACTAACCCAGCCCTCCACGGTTCCTCCGGGTAAGCTGCATCCTCGTGGATGGACACTGGTCACTCCTGCCAGGTAGCTCTAAAGATCACGAACCTTGTCATCCATATCGGCCGTCCCTCCCTTCCTCTCCCTCCCAGCTGCCTGTCATCCTCTATCACAGCCAACTATTATTAGGTCTTTCCTTAAGCAGGGCCTGTCAAACCAGATGGGGCTGCGGCCAGAGCCTGATGGCTGCCTGCCAGCGACCTCCCACAGGGAGGCAGGGTAGTATTGTGGTTAGACCCACAGGCACTGGAGACAGCTTCCTGGGTTCAAACTCTGTGTCTACCTCTTTCCTGCTATGTGATCCTCAGTAGGCTGCTTAATCTCTCTGCTCCATCTGCAAAATAAGGGCGAGTGCTTTGCATGGGCCTGGCATCCAGTAAACACCCAAGGAAGGTCAGCTGACAATGGTGCTGAATTGACTGCTTCTAAATCTCCCCGTACAGCTGTCTGTCCTCCACATCTAAGAATGTGTCCCATGAGAGTGGGCCAGGCCTCTTCCCCAAGCCCAGTGACCCCTGTCCCCCAGCTCAGCAGAGGAAGAACTGTCCATACTAGATGGATGCTGGTATTCCCAATGCAATGTTGGTATGCCATGCTCAACTGCTGTCAGCACCACTAAGAACTGCCCCTCCAACACCTTAGTCCCCCCACCCCACTGCCTCCCAGGGGGCTGAGGCTACATCCCAGGAGGGCCTCTGCATGGTCATACCATCCCAGGGGCAGCAGGGAGGCAGCCAGCTTTCTTCTATTCCTAGTTCAAGTTCTCTGCCACTGCAGCCCATCTCTAATTTGGAAGTTCTCTTATTATGTTTTCTTCATGTGGCTCAGGGGAAAATCAAATGAAAGGGGAATTCCCGGGTGTGTGGTGAGGGGTGGCTGCTGGCAGACAGCAACTGCATGTCCCTGCCTAGATGGCACATCTGTGCTGCCCAGGAGCATCAGAATAGAAAGGGCCTTTCCTGGGCATGGGTATGGGATACTCCTGGGCTGGGGTGCCCCCAGTTGCAGGAACAGATGGGAGCCTGAATCGTGTCTTTGCCATCAGCTCCCTCAGTGCCCTAGCACAGATGCTACCTCTCCAGGCCTCATCGGCCCGGTCTTCAAAATGGGAATGACAAGCTGGCTCAGGGTCCAGAGGACTACGGCACAATCCCCTTACAGAGGGTGGAGGATCGCTTAGCTGCCAGCGTAAGGGAGGCCGAGGCCCAGTTTAGCTCACCCCTGGTGCCCAAGGCCCCCATCCTCACATCTCTCTCACCTCCTTTCCTGGTCAGCAGTGTCTGCTGGTCTGGGGGTCCCAGGAGAGGCCACTCCAACCTCCTATCTGTGTATGTATGTATATGTGTGTATGTATATGTATGTATGTATATGTGTGTATGTATATGTATGTATATAGGTGTGTGTGTATATATATATATATTTAAAAGGAAGAGAGACAGAGAGAGAGAGAGAATGAATAGCTTCCATTTGCTGGTTAACACCCCAAATGGCCACGATGGTCAGGGCTGGGCCAAGCCAAAGCCAGGAACCAGGAACTCCATCCAGGTCTTCTAAATGGGTGGCAGGGACCCTAGTACTTGGGCCATCTTTCACTGCCTTCCCAGGTGCATTAGCAGGTAGCTGGATCAAAAGTGGAGCAGCTAGGACTTGAGGCGATGCTCCAAAATAGGATGCTGGCATTGTAGGTGGTAGCTTAGTCTGCTGTGCCACAATGCTGGCCCCAAGAGCAGAGAGTCTGAATGATGTTGATGGTGGCTGGGGAGCTGTGGATATTGACTGCTAGTTTTTCCAATGGGCAGAGGGTACCAAGTCCAGCTCATTCTACACATGGGATGTGAGAAAGTTTGGAGATAGAGTGTGGTTCACTTCCAGGGGACAAGTCACACTGTGCCACTCTTGCATAGGATATATTCGAGGGTATTAGGAAGTGGTGGTACCCGGCTGGCAGGGATGGATCACATTGGTGCTATGAGCCAGGTCCAGAAACGACCTTACCCTGAAGGCAATGGGGAGCCATAGGTGGTTGTAGGTGGGGAGTGCCATGATCATGTGCTCTAAGGTTCATTCTAGTTGTAAGTATGGAGATTGAACTGGAGGTATGAGAACAGGTCTGAGAGGCCTGAAAGAGAGCAAAGGTGGGAGGTTGGCAAAGAGGGCATGAACAAGTGAGAATTAAGGAAGTAAAACTGGCAGGACATGTTATATGGGTCCTTGGGCCCCTTTTGTTACCCTGATGAGTTGTAGAAGCCTATGGGAGGGGCTAAGCATATCAGGTCCCATGTGAGGTCCCTGACTTAATTCTACTGCCCATCCTCAAGTGACCTTTGAAGTAGAGAACCATCATGCCCAAGAAGGAAACCCAGTTGGGTAGTGAGGCTGCAAGGATCAGGATTCAAATCTCTCAGCGTGAGCCAGTGGGCCACAAGGCGCTGGGTCTCAGACAAACATGTTTGCAGGTAGCCAGAGCAATTCTTCCTATGAAGGGCGCCAGGTGTGGCTGCAAGGGCTCCCTGCCCCTGCCTCACTGCCTGCCCAGTCCCCAGTGCTGTGACTCTGCCTACCTTTGAGGTAGGGTTCCAGGGCCCCAAATGACTCATCACCTATTCACAGAAGGCCAGAGCAGGATCAGCCAGGGCTGGGCCACAGGGACTGTGAAGTATAGGCAGCTTCTAGATGTCTAAACTCAGTGATCCTCAGTACAAGTTAGTGCTATTTCCCCCACTTTATATATATATATATATATATATATATATATATATATATGATTTATTTATTTGAAAGTCAGAGTTACACAGAGAAGGAGAGGCAGAGAGAGAGAGAGGTCTTCCATCCTCGGGTTCATTCCCCGGATGGCTGCAATGGCCAGAGCTGCGCCGATCCGAAGCCAGGAGCCAGGAGCTTCTTTCAGGTCTCCCATGCAGGTGCAGGGGCCCAAGGACTTGGGCCATCCTCTACTGCTTTCCCAGGCCATAGCAGAGAGCTGGATCAGAAGAGGAGCAGCCAGGACTAGAACCTGCACCCATATGGCATGCCGGCACTTCAGGCCAGGGTGTTAAGCTGCTGTGCCACAGCGCCGGCTCCCTCACTTTATATTTTTAAGTTACAGAAAAATTATTTATTTGAAAGTCAGAGAGCTCTCCCATCCTCTGATTCCTTCCCCAATGTTGACGAAAGTCAGGGCTGGGGCAAGCCACAGCCAGGAGCCAGGAGCCAGGAGCTCAATGAGTCTCATTTGGGACTTGAGCTATCATCTGCTGCCTCCTGGGGTGCTCATTTGCAGGAAGCTAGAATCAGAAGTGGAGCTAAGGCTCAAGTCGAGGCACTCCAGTATGGGATGCAGACATCCCAAGTGGCGGCCTAACTGCTGTGCCGAAGATCTGGTCCTTATCCTCGTTTTACAAATGACTAAATGGAGGAGTAGAGAGGTTTGGTAACTTGTTCATAAATATCCAGCCAGGCTGGGCCTGAACCCAGGTGGTCTGGCCCCAGTATAACCACGCCCACCCACATCTCCCATCCCCGACCTGTTCCTTTTCTGCCTTCCCCTCCTACACCCCATCCCCAGATTTCCTACCTCCAAAGATGCTCCACTCCCCTTCCTGAGGACCTGGGTAACTGACCAGGGCTGAGTGACCTTGACCCAGCCATGCCTCCTGGACATGACCTTGGCTTATCCAGCCAACCCCTCCCATCTGCTCTGGCCAGCCCACCCAGCCTGAGGGGAGTCAATTCAGATCTTTGGGTGGAGATTGGGCACCCCTGCCAGCTGGCTGACCCATGGGAGGTCAGATGGAGGCTGAGAGTTAGTCCCACCAGCGTCTTGCCTGCCACAGCCTTGCCACGTGCACAGACCACAGACCACAGAGACATGGAGCCTGTTGTACTGCCCAGTTTAAAATAAGACAGGCCTGGCTCCACAATGAGAGGTGCCAGGCCACCTCCTAAAATGGACATATGTGCAGGAAGATCTATGGTCATAACCTGGTGACCCATTGTGACTGCATTAACTGCTGTCCCTTCTTGCGGGAGGGCTCAGCCTAGCCCCCCTCTTTCAGACCCGATTGCTCTTCTCTTGGCCTGGGGGTGGCCTCTCTCACTTGCTTGCTGCAGCTCGCTCTCCATTTACTGGCTGAGTATGGCTGTCTCTGCAGGGATGCACCAGGGTCGGGGAGAGAGGCAGGAAGAGAAGTAAGGGGGCTGAGAAGGGCTTCTTTGACGCTGGACTTGGGGTCTCTAGATCAGATGCACGACTTCTGGGCCTTTCTCCGCTGGGCATTTCCATGGGCTTCCTCAGAGGGACCCTCATCCCCCACTCCTGTAGGGACTGTCAAGTGCAGTTGCCTGGCATAGGCTCCTCCTTATGTGGCTGCTTGTGATCCACCCCAGCGTCTTTCCATCCCTGTCACCTCACTTGAGAGGAAGCTCTCTTGGACTAGCTGCCTTTAAAAAAAAAAAAAGATTTATTTATTTATTTGAAAGTTAGAGTTACACAGAGAGAGGAAAGGCGGGGGGGGGGGGAGGGGTGTCTTCCATCTGCTGGTTCGCTCCCCAATTGGCCGCAACAGCCAGAGCTGTGCCCATCTGAAGCCAGGATTCAGGAGCTTCCCCCAGGTCTCCTACATGGGTGCAGGGGCCCAAGCATTTAGACCATCTTCCGCTGCATTCCCAGGCCATAGTAGAGAGCTGGATTGGAAGTGGAGCAGCTGGGTCTCGAATTGGTGCCCATATGGAATGCCGGCACTACAGGCAGCAGCTTACCTGCTACGTCACAGCGCTGGCCCCAGGCTAGCTGCTTTTATGATGACTCAGCCAGCTCCCAGCTGCTGGGGTTTGGCAACAGATGTGGAGCTCCCTCGCCCCACCCCCTGCAGGCATCTATAAGCCACAGAGAGAACTCTGGGCGTTTGCATTTGAACAATGTGGAGAACTCTGGACAGTTTGACACAGAGGAGGGATATGATAGTTGGCTACTGCACCAGTCCAGGCCAAAGATGACAGTGGTTTTTTCTTGCCATGGGAGCTGTGGAGGACAAGGGAGCTGACCTACTGATAGACTTACTGCTAGGTTGTGCTGAAAATGAGCCCAGTGTTTTGGCTTGAGTGATGAGGCGGTTGGAGAAGAGAAATGACAATTGTTGAGGGGACATATGGCATAGAGCAGGTTGAGTAGGCAGAAATCTAGGGTTTTTGACCATGCAAAGGCTTAGATGCTTTTCAGATGTCAAGCAGAGCTGTCAAGGAGGCACACAGATGAAAGCAAGTCTTCCATTGGCCCATCCTGTGCTTTTGTGCAAGTGAGGAAAGGGTATCCTTACTCCAGGTGAATGTAACCTCCTACCAGGAGTCATGGCTTGTGAGCAGAGCACAGGCAGACGCCAGCCCCTGAGTCCCCTTGGCCACACGCATTTGCTCAGTGAACAATCTACATACCTACGAATGGTAGCCCTGGATGTGCTTGTCTGGCTCTCAGAGGACTACTGGGGACTGGAGAAGAGCTCTGAGCCCGTGGGATGCTTCTCTGGATGCTATGTGGCATAGCAGCTCCACCAGCCAAGTGGGCAGGAAAGACCAGGGCTTCACCTAGGTGGACTGGAAGCCCTTGGTTTCCAGGGCCTGGATTCCCTTCTCCTCCTCAGGTGAAGCTCCCTGCTTCCCGCAGGACTGAGTGACTGTGGTCATCTTAATGTTGTCTTCTCTGGGTCCATCCTGGGAAGCCCCAAAAGTAGGGTGTCAGGAGGCCTCATGTTCCTCTGCCCCCCACCACTGTCCATCCTTGATGCAAGGGTAATGACCGCTGTCACCATGCTGATGACCATCATGTCCCCGGAGGGGATCCACAGTCAGAGTGCCCCTAGGCATCCAGTAGGAGGAGCTGAAGTAGTCAATGAGGCCATGGAGATGGAAATGGTTGAAAATGCAAGCAGCCCAGTGTTTGATAGAGGGGTGGCTGGGTTCAAATCCCAGGGCCACTTCCAATAGCTGTGTAACCTCGGCAAGACCTTTAGAGTAAAAGTGGGATGATAATAGCATCTACTTCCTAGGGCTAATGTGAAAAATGAATCTGTTCTCTTTTTTTTGTTTTAATTTTTTTGACAGGCAGAGTGGACAGTGAGAGAGAGACAGAGAAAAGGTCTTCCTTTTGCTGTTGGTTCACCCTCCAATAGCCGCTGCAGCCGGCGCGCTGCGGCTGGCGCACCTCGCTGATCCGAAAGTAGGAGCCAGGTGCTTATCCTGGTCTCCCATGGGCCATCCTCCACTGCACTCCTGGGCCACAGCAGAGAGCTGGCCTGGAAGAGGGGCAACCGGGACAGAAGCCGGTGCCCCGACCGGGACTAGAACCTGGTGTGCCGGCGCCACAGGTGGAGGATTAGCCTATTGAGCCACAGCGCCGGCCAGAATCCGTTCTTTCACATGAAGTACTTGGCACAGTGTCCCAAATTGTAAGCACCCAGTGAATATTAGCTCATACAAGGGAACTTCTATAAATTCATGGGAAATTTGCATTATGTATTTTTAAAATTTTTTGTGTATTTTATTGATTTAAAGACACAGAGATGGAGAGGGATCTCCTGTCTACCAGTTCATTCCCCATTGCCTGCAACAGCTGGACAAAGCCAGGAGCCAGGATCTCAACCAGGTCTTCCACCTGGGTGGCAGAGACCCAACCACTTGAGCCATCATCACCTGCTACCTTCCAGGGTGTGCATTAGCATGAAGCTGGAACCAGGAACAGAGCTGGGATTTAAACCTAGGCACTCTAATATGGCATGTGGGCATCCCAAGCAGCAAGTTAACCACTACCCCAAATACGTTATGTTATTTTTTAATTTCATTTTTCTAAGAACCATTTGAAGTCCCCTGGTATCAGGAATGCTTCCTTCTCATTGAAATCGTGAAGGCCCCTGCGAGCTGCTGAGAAAGCAGGCAGAGGAGGAAGCTGCTTCCTCCTCCCAATTTGGGGTCCTCCAGGGGTCACATTCCAAGAGCTTTGTGAAGGTCAAACTCAAGGCAGCCAAATGGGGGATCCTCCCCTCTGCAAACACTTCCAGGGAAGGGGATTTCACAACTCCCCAGGACCCAGTCCAGCAGTGCCCAGCCGCCTCCTCCGTGTGTCTTCCTGGGGTAGTAGCGAGTCCTGACCTCAACACTGAGCACTTTTCCAGTCTCAGAGTAAAAGGGGAATGATCCCAGCATGTGGGTCTTTGTGCCCCACTACCAGCTTCTCATCAGCCTGTTTGGGGTCCTGTCACTTGAAAAAATCTGACGAGCCCCACTTGGGACTCCCGCTTCCCATGTCGGAGTGCCTTGGTTCACGTTCCTTCTCTGCTTCTGATCCAGCATTCCTGCCTATGCACACCCTGGGGAGCAGCAGATGAAGGTTCCTGGCTTCTGCTTGGCTTAGCCCTGGCTGTTGTGGGCATTTGGGGGCAGGCAACAGAGAATAGAAGATCTCTCTCTTTCTCTCTTCCTTCCAAATAAATATTTATTTAATGAGCCCCTTACACTCTCTTTATAGCATTTAAAGAAAAAAAAAAAGCTTTCTCAAATACATCCCTTACCAGACAAATTTTGCCAGGTCCCTCCTTAGGAAAGGCCCGGTTATAACTTGCTAGTTGAACCAACAGGCCCTGAATTTGCTGGGTGGTAAGGCTGCTTCCACTATTTACTGACTGTGAGGCCACAGTGCTTGCCCTATCAGTCCTTTCCCAAA